ATGAGATACACCGCATTAATCTTTTCCATTTTGTTACGGCTATACAGCGACATCAGACTTTTTACTATTATTTTACGAGATCCAAGGGCCACTCAAGGTAGAAGGTTACAGAATCAGAAAAGAAGGAAGGAAGAAGTTAGAAGACATGTAGGATAAATCTCGGTTGACCCTGGGCATAAAGAGACCAAGATTATAGTATCGTGGAAGCAACCTCTCGGGAGTTTATTGCGCACAGTAATAGTTCTGAGGAAGAAACTGTCTGAGGAGAACTTACTCCTTATCAAAGGAATATGAAAAGAATAGGAACGATTTATTATATGGCAAGGTAGATCCTGTCTGAACTGGGGGAATGTAATTCGTCCGAGCATTTGCCATGTTAATAGCTGTATTGTAGTGAAAGGCTTTTCCTCTTCAGTGAATAATTTCGGCATTAAATAATCTATAGAGGTTAATACGCAGGTAAACAACCAACGTAAGTAAAACATACTTCCATATTCACTCACATTTCTGTGTTTATCCACACAGTGTTGTTCATTTTGTCGTTTTGACACGTCAGTCATTTGGCAATGTCTATAACCTTTCTTTGCGTCGTATCATTGTCAAAATAGAATATCAAACTCGAGTTGCTATATTATAATGATCGCGTTAGGCTGGGTTTAGGTTGTTATTGTGTAAGATAATAAATATTAAGATCTTTAACCGACGTATGAATGTACTAGAAATATTCTTAAATTGAGATTTTTTGTTTAAATTTATGAACATATGCATATGTTTTATAGATGATGCAAAATCATTTGATAAGATACAACACAAAGAATTGTTTGAACTGCAAGGTAATATTAATTTATTTCAGAAAGTTATAAGAATAATCCAGAATTTATACTGCTATCTGCATACAGATAGAAATGAATTCAGTAAATATGCCAAAACATAGTGTCATAGAATAAGGACGTGTCTCCTCATCGGACTTAATCAACCTTTAAGGGGAGACAATCCTGAGAGAATTACAAGCTCTACCAGGATTTAATATTAGGTGCTTAATCTTAACATTATAAGATATACAGGTGACACAGCGTTGGCAGCAGACACAGGCAGGAAACTACATGAACTCCTACAGCAGGTAATGATTGAAGTATTAAACATCAATTGAAATATCATGAAATGTATGGTTATCAGCAAAAGGAATAGACCAAGACACGAAGTATGAATACAAGACACCAAAATCAATCACGTACGAAAGTTTAAATATCTAAGAATTGTTTAACAGAGAACAGAAAATTTGAAGTCGTGATTCAATGACGCATTATGGAGAATCAAAGTTACCAACGCCCTGAAGGAACGCATAGCAGAAGATGTTTAAATATATATATATATATTAAATTCATATTATAATTGTTTTCATTTATAACACATCAGAAATGGGCTAGCAATAACTGAACAGTTATAAAATAAGAACTAAACAAGATATCCCTTGACATCGGCTGTCGAACGTGAACTGTCTACCCACGTTTTATACTCCCTCGCTGTTGGCATTAAATAAAGGGTACAGTTCAAATTTCCCTGTAGATCACCTGGATTGCCATACCCCTGGTGCAGGCCGGAGGTCACAACATCAGAAATACTGTGATAACAACTACAAAGATGAGGACAATAGTCTGCATGTAAATAATCGATAAATTCGTTATTACTTAAATTAAGTATCAGATTTTAACGAAAGTCTATCCAACTTGTTCTATGACATATGAAACAAAACAGTGGTTAATAAAAATGCATTTAATCATCAATATCGTAGAACCATTGTTTTCAGTGGCTTTATCCCAAATGCCTAATAGTATATGCTACATAAGCACTGCCTCAGAAGACAGGGGCAAACAGATGTGAACGCCATCGGACAATCAACATAACGAACCATATAACTAAATTTACCTTTTGAATTCTGATGAATAGAACATATAGAAGAATTAGACCGGAAATAGGACAAGAACAGTGCGGGTTCGTTAAAGGAATGCTATATTTATGTTCATAATGATATCAGAAAAGCAATAGAAATGCAAAAAAGAATGTGTATCTGTGTTTTTAAAAGAACTGTTGGAACTGCTAGGAAATCTTGACATATTTGAGAAGGATATTCGAATAATTCAAAACTTATACTGGGAGCAAAGCGTTTGCATAGGAATAGAAAATGAATTTAGTAAATATATAAAAATAGAAAGGGGTGTGTCTTCTCGCCGGACTTATTCAAATTATACTATGAGGCGAGTTTGAGAGAATTAGAAGTCCTCTCAAGATTCTTTATCGGTGGCCATAATCTTAACAACATAAGATATGCAGATGCCACAGTGTTAATAGCAGACGTAGAAAGGAAACTACAAGAATTCTTACAGAAAGTAGTGAGAAAAAGGGAGAAGGAGAGACTAAACATCATTACAAGAAGACTGAATACATGGTTGTTAGCAAAAGAAACAGCCCAACATGCAAATTACAAACTGGAGATGGCAAAATCAAAGAAGTACAATTTGAATACCTGGCAAGATGCGATACTGACGTATGAAGGCACATTGGGATAGTGAAAGACGCCTTCCAAAAGCTAAGCAAAGTATTAAGAAACAGGAAAATGTCATCAGAAAAAGAAAGAAAAGAAAATAGCACTGGACTGTTATGTAATATCAGTCATCTTATCAGATGAAGAGACTTTAAGCAACAGAAATGTTGTTCTACAGAAGGATGCTGAGAATGTTATGAACTGAATATGTGAGTAACGACCAAGTTTTAGATAAAATGCAAAAAGAAAGACCGATTATACTTAAAATAAGAAATGGATAGCTGAAATTTCTCGGAGGAAAGATGGCTTGGAAAATTTGCCACTTACAGTACATATTTAAGGCAAGCGGGACAGGGGTAAACAGTACACAACCACATAACCAGTTTGTGTAAATAAATGAAAGAATAGGGTTTAGGTTAGATGGCAAAATAAGAAAATCTATTCAGACCTACAAAGGACAGGAAAGTGTGGAGAGCCATGATCACCATTGTTCTGAAGGGAAACGGCACATAGATAAATAAGTATGAAATTCTTTCGTTTTTTTTTAATTTTCGATCACTTCTTTAGAATATAGTCTGAGTCAATTCAAGTTGCTTTTCAAGCATTTAAATTAAGTACCTTCAATAATTCGACGAAAAAAGAGCATACTATGAAGAAAATGTGCCCTAAACTTGATAAAAACAAAGTTTTATCGTCAAAATGGTTATGTCATTATTAAGAGGAAAGACCAAAAAATTTTTTTTAATATTTTATTAATTTTTTTTTTTAATCTTTTCTAGCAGGTTCGAAATTTCAGTTAAAAATGTTATTTTTCTTGCGTCAGGAGGCAGGCCAAAAATTAGTATGGGAAATCTAGTGTCTTTTTACCGTAACAAGACATTGATTTTGAAATTCTTGCAAAAATCAAACAGTTGTCGGATTTTAATGAAATTTTCGGCACTCATTCACAAATTAATTAAATACTTTTTATATGTTTTGTTTTTAGAAAAGCCTGGTAAAAGTTTTTACATCTGTTATCCACACTTACTTAATGTTATGAAATTTTAAGAAATTTCACCCACTTCATATTTATATTAGCTAAAAGCAGGACTCTTTGAAGAATTTAAATCATCAGTTTGTTTTTGTAAAACAGAAACACCATTTACCGAAAAATTGCTCTGAATCTTTAAATAAAAATGCAATAAAACTATAACATTATTTAATTAAAAAGGGCTTTTAATTGATTTCATAAATAAGATATAAGGACACTATTGTCTTACGAAAAATACATTTTTCGATGAATAATGAATCTTTACAAGAATTGTTTCCTTTCTTATTTTAATTAGAATTATTTATTAAGTTTTAAATCTTTTAAAATTCTATATTAACTTCACTCTTTTAGATATTATTATTAAGTAAAAACTATATTTACCAATCATAAATGGAAAAACTTAGTAGAAATCATCAAACACTAATATTTTTAAAAGAATTTTAATATTTTTGTATGTGTATAAAACGTACCGATTTTGTAGATACGCGCGATCCTACACGACATTTGAAGAAAATAAAAGCGATAATTATAGTAATTTTAAAGCTAAAAAGTATGGAAAATTCAATGAAACAGTAAATTATGGAGAATAATTTGATATTTTTTAAGATTACTGAAAACTTAAAAATTATATATAAAAGGTGCTCACGTTTTTTCAATTATTTTTTACGTCTAATGCCCCCATAGAACAACATTAGACAAACACCAAGCTGCCATTAAGCTGTCAAACATGTAAACGGCTTGAATAAATAAATAAATAAATAGCCACTATGTGTTAAAATATGTATTCCTACAATATTTTAATCTTAAAGTAAATAATATTTGTTTCGAATCAGATTAATTAAACTTTAAATCATCTAATATTCCTCAAATGAAATATCAGAAATTATATTTTAATTTTGGAAGATTTTTTAATAGAGAATTGCATAATTCTTCCAAAAATATACTTTTATATAAAAGGGCGATAATCAGCTATTCTAGGAAAAAAAAAACTTGTTCCAGTCAATTTAAATACAGCAAAATATTTTGCTTATTGAAAATATTAAATTTAATCTATTAGCTTTAAATTAAAAATAAAATGGCTTAAAGAAATATTTTTCATTTTAAAGAATTCATTTTATGCCTTAGATATCGCGTTTTCGGTGGAGGTACCTATTCTAAATAGACGGTAACTGAAAGGAGGGATGTTCTTGGAATATGGTGGTTAAAGCTGAATTATTCAAGTTGATCTGTGGTCATTCGTGCAGTAAGATAATCTGTTTGATTTTTCTTGTGTTTTTGTCTTGTTTTTGTTTTGTTTTTTCAAAGCTGCTTTTAAACGCCTTAACTGTCGGCAATAAACTTCAATTTCGATTGTTTGTTATATTTTAACCGTTTCTATTAAACGATTCCCTACAAATGCCACCATAAACTCAGAAGACTCTTTGGGGGATGGAGTCTCTCTCTTGGCTGTTGAGCAGACCTTCCTCCACAAATAAGACATTGTCGCCTCCGCTAAACTTTGTGGCAAATGATCTATTTCGCACTCCCGGTAATAACACTACCCCACAAGAGCTTCAAGAATGCAATGATGTACAGAAAATCGACATTTATTGCATTTCTCTGCTGACAGGATATGTAGAATCCATTCTCCAACCTTTAACACTTTCTAAGCTTTACCATTTCCTGAGAGACAATCGAATGGCTAACGTTGTGTTCCCCTAAATATAATGGTTACGTTAGCATCAACACTTGCTACCAATCTTTCACAATCAAGACCTTGTAAGTGACTTTTTAAAAGGCTCGCACGTTAAACTGAAGTCTTGCTTTCTGAAACAGGAAAAACATCTAGATGTTCTACAAGCAGGCTACTATCATTATATGTCTGCAAAAATCACAAAAAATGGCATCCCGAATGTGTCCTTTACTTGGAGCAAATATGGGAACGATTCGAAAGCTTTTTTTCAGATAATTTGCACAGTATCTGAAAGAAAGTGAGATATATGTCATCTAGTTAATGGCAAATATCAGTTTCCCCTACTTCTAGTGAACGGATGGGACTTCAAATCAACCCAGATCTCAAGTGCAACTCGTATATACGATCCATCGCCAAAGATGCTGGAAAAAGGGTCAGTTATTTATTTTCCACCCTACAATCCCTTTCCCCGCAGACAAAATGTCATTCGCAAATCGCTATTTCCATGGAAAATGTTCAGATGAAATACATTCCTTGGTTCCACTAATTCTAACCTCTACAGCTACGAGCTGACATTCCCTGCACATTGTAGCGAACAACCCTCATTCCCTTTCGTATTCCATTGATGAGATGAATGTTCTACTCGAGAAACTTCTTTAAACGAACCGCTCTTTGTGGAATCGACTCGCAAGAGTGTGATTCGCCGATCGTTACAATCATAACCTGTTCAAATCTAGGTTTAACCATTATTTTTCCATATATCACCATAAAATGTACATCTTACTCTGTATCCATGTACCTCGAGTGGCTCTTTGGCCTTGTACAGGTTCAACATCATTGTAAAAAATATCTTGTTCAAAATATTTCGTTGAAAAATCGGACAAGACTTTCGTTACAAGCTGATAGTTTTATTTTAGTTTAATATTCGGGGAATATTGAACATGAACAGAAAAAAAAGGTTAGTTGTTTTTGTTTAGCGGCATATCAAGCCTATGTGTTATTTAATGGCGAAACAGAAAAAGAGTTATATAATGCTTTCGGTATTATATTAGGTTTTTCGGAAAATAATATCCGATTTTAAAATAAACCTTTTGTGTTCTAATACATTATTATAATAGTTGCACAAAAACTCAATATCAATTCCTAATGTCCTATTTGTTAATTTTATATAAATCTCTTTCAGAATTTTGTTCTCAAATACATGATGCACCCTGTCCGATTTTAAAAAGAACCTTTGAATTGCGTTCATTATTATAATAATTGCACAAAAATATATTACTCATTCCCAATTATTAAAGTTTCCACTTTCTTAATTTTAAATCGATCTCTTTTATAATTTAACTAAAACAATTATCTACGCCTTGTGTTGAAAATGAAAAAAAAGAAAAAAAAAGAGATGTGTTTACTTTTTTGCATGAGTTCAAGCTTGGTCATAATGTTTCTCAAACTGTTGCCAACATTAACAGACTATCAGATAAAGGATCCATTGTACGGCATTAGTTTCCGAAGTTCCGCAGTGGGGCTACGAGTCCTCAAGGACACATGGCACAGTGGATAAAGGCGTTGGTTAGATCCAGTGACAGAACCAAAAGAGTGTGAGTTCAATATCCGGTTAAGGCAGTGGAGAACTTTCAGAGGGAAATTAACAGGAGATAACTGATAACTGACATCCATTAAACATGGCACGTGGAACTAGAACAGTCTAACCCAGTGAGCGAAATAAAGGGTTCAGTTCGACATTCCAACCACCTGAAGAAGGCCGGAGCGTACAACGGCCGAAACGTTGTAATAAATATGGCGACAAAGATGAGGACAATAGTCCGAATAATGTAAATAATGTATGTTAGAGGACGTTTATCTGTAATTGGCAATCAATTACTGCATTCAAAGATTTCTTGGCGTTTAGAGTTTTATCGTAAAGGCATAAATAACCTTGTACCACGATAAAAGAAATGTTCAAGATTCTTATTTTAAACACTGTTTAGATAGATTAATTTTAGAAAGTGAATTTCTAAAATTGGACATTATTTTCCGAACAACCTAATATATGTATATTGCAGAATTACATAAACACGCCTGATAGGTAAATAGAGAGAGACAAGGACAGAGAGAGAGGGGGGAGAAGAGAGATAGAGATAGAGAGAAGACGGTGAAAGAGAGAGAAGATACAAAAAGATGGGAATGAAAAAAGTTTTATGACGTTAGTTTCTTGTCGTCAGTTTGCCTTTCCAAAGCGACAGTAGATAACGTTATTTAAATGGCAAGACAAGAATCGCCTTTTGTAAATAAGCAAAAGACATGGTCCCTGTTTGTTTTGCATCAATATAAGTCGAGCAGCCATTATTTGAATGGCGCCAAATGTGGAGCTAAACTTAAAAGAAACAAGATAGATAGATAGATAGATAGATGTTTCTACACTGACGCGTCAAATGTCATGAGTTTGGTCCAGACGGGCTATCAGATCAACTCTCTTCATTTATGCCTTTGTATTCTACATAGGCTACCCAATGAACATCCTTTATAAATATCGTTATAATCATCAGAATGTCTCATGAGCTGGCGTCTTTACATATATCGTCTCATCAACTGTCCTTTTCTATGGGGTTAATATCATTACAGGCCACCACAGGCCTGCTGCTAGGAAGGCTGGTTCACTGTGTTATACTAGACAATATTTCTCGCCAGGATCTATCTTACATATTTATAAGTCTACCATTTGTCCTTGCATTCAGTATTGCTGTTTCACCTGGTCCGGTGCTTCTGCTATATATCTAGAGATTCTTTATAAAATACAAAGAAAAATCTGTAATGTTATTAGTCCAGACATGGCATCTAAGCTTCAGTCACTTTCTCACTGCCGTAACTTCCTGTTGCCTTTTTTTATAAATATTTCCATGGTAATTTTTCTGATGAACTTTCCTCTTTGGTACCTATACTATGAATTTAAGCGTACTTCTAGATTGGCAAAACTTTATTTTAAAGTTGAGCTGGCTGAATGTAACCGTAAGTTCTATGTTAACAGTGTCTCATGTCGCACTTGTGGAACTCTCTTTCGGCTTACCTTTGATCTTCAAAAATGAACTGCAATGTCAATGAGTATTTTCTGTCTTCTTAATTCCTCTTCTTTTATCGTTCTCTGTTTAATGAAGTTTTTCTTTTCCTCAGATTCTCTCAAATATTGTTTGCCCATCAGTCTACAGGAAAACCACAAATGATTTTATCTAACTTAAAGGATCACCCGTGCTCGTTCATTGCATCAGGGGTAATCTTCTCCCTGGCCATTGGCTTCGAGCAAGGAAGCCCATCGCTCAGTGATGCCGTGACTGCGTTCATACCCAATTGTGCTAGATAGTCATTGGCCTTACAGGAAAGTTTAACCAACATCCCTTTGACATGTACTTTTTTAAATCTTTCTGAATGTCTAGCCACCAGAAAAAACCTATTGAAGGAACCGGTTTAGTCGGCAATGACCTGACAACTTGTATTGAGTTACAGTGTACCAGTTTCGGAAGATCGAGCCGTTTTGGACGACATCTCGTCGGTTAGTTTTAGAGGGGGATTGGAATGCCGTCCTTGATCCCGTCATAGATTGTATAGGGCCAAATTCGAGTATTAACAACCCTGACGTGAAACCATTTTGGGACTTTATCGGCAGGTTTGATCTTGTCGATAAGTACCGGAATGAGCACCCTCGGGAGGGAGTTTGGACTTGGACAAATAGTGGCGGCTCGGCGGCTGGTGTGCGTTCTAGCTACCTCGACCGAGTCTTAGGCGAGTCGATGTAGGGCTCTTAGGGTGTCCAAGTTTCCATTATATAGTTTATACGGATCATAGGCTTGTCCGGGTCCGTGTAAACTTAGATAAGCCTAAGGTTGGTTGGCTGGCTACTGGAAATTAAAACTGCTCATTATTTGGTGAGAAGGATTTCCGGGACCAGCTGCTACTAATGATACAGAGGGAATTGACGGGGGCGGTTGTAGGGAATGCCTGGTGGGATAATTTAAAATCTAAAATTAGAACGTTTGCTGCTGATTTTAGTTGACGACTCAATCTAGTTAGATTAGCGGTGCAAACGGCTTGTGAGCAGAAATCGGGCAGTTAAATCCCGTGATAGTAGGGAAATAGCTTTAGCTAAGGCAGAGTTGTCCTCCTTACTTATCAAGAAAGATCAAGCTCTGGTAGTTAGGGCTAGGTTAAAAAAAATGGGCGCTGATATGCGTGCAGAGGAGAATCAGAGCGCGTCTCGGCGACATATCGCGTGCGTCACATTGCCGGATAAGCGGACCGTGACTACAAACGCGTGCATATGCGAGGCTTTTCAGGATTACTTTCAAGAACTTTATACTAGGGAGCCCGGTTTGGGCCCTATTCAGTTCGACGCCTATTTAGCCGACACTCGCTGCCTTGAGACAGCTGAAGCGGCTGGGTGCAAGGGTCCTATCACAGAGTCGGAAATCTGGGAACCGCTGAAACAGGTTGGCCTGGATAAATCTCCGGCACTAGATTGTCTTCTCTACGAAGTTTATTTGATGCAGTCGTCCGTTTTTGTTCCTTTGCTGGAACTGATTTACAACAACTGGATGAAGCAGGGGTCTATACCTCAACGCTTCACCTTGCTGCGTAAAGACAAGAACGGTGGGGATGGGTTAGATAATTTTCGCCCTTTAACCATGTTAAATACAGAGTTAAAGATTTTGGCAACGATCTTAGCCAACCGTTTGCAGCTCGTCCTGTCTAGTCTGGTTGGCTCCGAACAGACTTGTGCTGTGAAGGTCAGGACTCTTTAGAACAACCTTCATATGGTACGCTTGATCTTAGAACAAGTCGACAGTGAATTTAGCTCAGTCCAAGGCCTT